CGATGGAGTGCAGATTCTCACTCTGTGCTAGTGTTTTTCAGATTTTCAACTCTCTTTTCAGCCTGAAATAAACAGGGATCAGGCCCTTGATGTAGCTCTTGCTGCGCTCTGATTCCTAGATGACCAGGTTTGGTGTAAATACATCGTCTTTGAGTCTGGTCTTCTCTGTGCAGTTATTTTTGCCCAAACGTGGCTCCCCTTGCAAGCTTCTGTGTGCTAGGACAACTCTTACAAAGCATGTGGAGCAGCTCTCAAGTCCCTGTGCGCGATGATGCCATACTGTGTGTCAGACTTCCAGAGAGATTATCTCTGCTGCTTTGTGCTGCTCCAAGCTGAGCTCTTCTCGCCTCTTTTTCCTCTGTGAATGCTGCCAAACTTATCTGTCCTTCTTGGGCATAGGCTTTAGGGAAGAGAAGGGATTCTGGAAAGGTGCTGAACAGATGGCGCAAGGGCTTTCCTCATAGCTTATGAGGCACGCTGCTACCTCGGGAGGTAGTTTGCCCTGTGAAGAGGGGGGTAAACATCTCTGTGAGTATCACTACTCTTGAGCTAAGCAGCTTGTGCGTGCGTGTAGATGGGGCAGCATGGAAGTGATGGTTGTTGGTAGGTTTTCTTTAAAGACATAAGGGTTGGTTGCTGCAAAGCAATCACTGTATCCCAAACAGACACCATCCCTTGTCTTTTCTCCCTGGGACACTACAGTATGAAGGTTAGTGTGAGGATCTCTGTTTTCCAAACGGGGGCAGCAGGTTTTGCTGGAGCTTCTGCCAAGTCATAGAGATGGGTTTTTTAAAGGTAGTTCAACTTTAGACCTGGAGCTGCCATCAGCATAGCCCTGCACACCTCTTCTGTTTGTGACTGGTGATGCCAGAGCCACGAAAAGGACTTGGAGATTTTCTTCTGCCTCTATCAGGCTCAAGGCTTCATACAGCTAATATCAGCTGTGGACCATTAACTTGTGTGTAGTCGTATGCTGCTAGAATATATTGGTCTGGCCACAGCCTGCTCCAATAATTTGTTAGGTGTATAGTCTTGCTTGAGATTTTTTCCTTCCGGAATTTGTTTTTAAAATCCCTGTATAGGTTCCTGCCTCCCAGTGAAACTCCGTGAGAGGGTTTGTGCTGTAGCCTTGCTCTAGGAGATTTGCTCAATTTTGATCTGTTACAGCCAACCGCTTTCTGCAGAAGTGTTGTGGAAGTCTCCGGCGAGCTGATCTCAAACGTTATGGTGCAGTGCCATCGTGGCGCATCCAGCTCTGAATCCATGAGCAGCGAGGAGGTAAGGAAGGGGGAAACTGATTTCTGCTGCCTGGGGGGAGTGAAAATTCTGCTCATCCTCTTTTAAGGAGAAGTCAAGTGTACATATGTGAACTGCAACTCCTGTTGCAGTTGGAGGTTTTGATAAAAACTGAATGTGGTTTTGAATCCATCTGTCTCCTGCAATGCTTCCCTTTCCATCAGCTGAGAGGTTTGACCTTGCCTGATGGCTGCCTGGGGAAAGTGGGAATCTCTGTGGCCGTCTGGCACATCCACCAGCTCCGAAGCTCTTTCTTCATTGCCGTACAGAGTGCGTGCCTGGAGAAGGGTGATTGGCACATCTTGCAGCCAGGAACAAATACCGATGGCTCTGGCTCCATTACCAGACCTCAGCTGAGCATGTAATCACAGTATCGGTGAAGAACACTTGCTCTGCTGGGATTTGTGTTCTCCTATTTGATCTTTAAGGTGTGATTGAATGCTGACCTAACCTGTGGACTCCTGCTAGCTCTTTTCAAATCATGCCAGTGTCCATCTTTCCCATGAACTGACACTTGAACCTGGGTGCCTGCACTTAAAGCACAGATCTACAGGGAGTGATGTGCTTGAGGATTATACACAGGGGACAAAGATAGTTTCACAAGCAAGGTGCCAGAGGGTATGGACAGCTTTTATTTTTTTGGAAAGTGCAAGTGACTAAATGAATAACTTGAAGCAAATAGGATTCTGTGTCACCTTCTCCTGGTTTCAATTGCCAAATTAGCTTGTAATTGATTTTTTTTCATTCAGAATCTCTATTCAGAGCTAGCTAGTGAATTGCACCACAGGAAGTCTTGATTTGCAGAGCAGGAAGACCGCATGTGAAGTACTGAAATATGTAACATTGTCTTGGATGCTCAGGCTGTCCTCTGTGGGTTAAGCATAACTCTTGTTTAATAGGGCACTTGGTATAAACACTTACTTTTACAAGCAGACATCTTCCTGCAAGTCGTCTTTAACCATCACTTAAAATTCAGTACTGCTGCCAATATTCCTGTGGGGGAATATATTTCCTGCAATGTTAATAAGAAATAAATGCCAAAGGGAATTATTGCGCATGGAAATGAAAGTATTTCTTTCTGCAGAGGGCTGCAGCAAGTGCACCATAGCTCTTCCTCTAGGGCTGCAGCTCAGCTGAAGGGATCCCAGCCTGGCTCAGGTGGAGATGGTGTGGTGGAGCTGTGGTGGATGGTTTGGGTGTCTCTCCCGTAGTGCTGGTGGCATTTGGGTAGGAGAAGGAATTATGTTTGGCTGGGATCATATTACTGGGATAGAGACCTACAAAAGAAGAGTGTAGAGAGCTTTTAAAAGAGTAATTTGGGATAAATGAGTCAAAGAACTGTCCTGTGCGACTGCAACAGCCTAACTCTGCTCTCCTGGCTGTATCTCCCTCCAGGAAGGTCAGGTAAGGTATGAAGTGCTGGAGATGTTGACCTGAGAGCCTACCTGCAACTGCAGACTCCCTTAGCAGCATTGCTGCTTTGTGACAGTATCGGCAGTAATCGTGTTTTCAGATAAATTAATAATGAAGTGTGGAATTACTTTAGTGGTCATGTATTACCAGAGGAAGTGAAGGAGAGGTGGGCTTCTTGGCAGATGAGCTTTTTAAAGAGATGTCTTTAATTTACAGATGATGTATATGCCGATAACGAACCCCAACAGGCGAGGCAGCAGTCGCAGGGAAGGTAAGCCATTTCTGCCGTGCTGGACTGTCCTTATGGATCGTCTGCAAGGACCATCCCAAGGCCATCTGTCTGAGGGAAAAGAAAATATGGAAGACCAAGAGTTTGCTCAGGTCCTGGCCAGCTGCTTTTCCCTTTGCAGAGGGGCATCTCATTGAGGAATTGGTGAGAGCATTAGGCTGTAGGGCAGTTCTGGGATTTGTATGTTCTGTGTACAATCTCTTCTGGATTGCCAGATTTGTGCTCTCATAACCAGCACCTGCGTGTATCCTTTAGGTTGTCTTGATGTTGTGCACAATGCTGAATGAATGTGTGTTTGAAATATATAACACTCAGGTATGTCTCCATGTTCTGTTTTTTAAAAGATGTGTTTGCTCCTGAAGCCTTCCCTTCAAGAGGAAGAGGCGGCAGCCGTGGAGACCGGCACCAACCCAGCTATTTCAGCTCTGACAAGATTGAGTAACATGGTTCGGGTGAGTACAGTTCAAAGTGTAGCTCTTACACAACCTAGGTCTGCAGGTTTTGTGGCAGGGTGGGAAAGTGACTGCTCAGGATAAAGGATCTCGTTGGGAACATGGTTTTTGGCTGCGAGCATACTAAAAGCCATTTGCCTCTAGGCATTTGTAGGACTTGTTTCTGGGGAAATGCGGTGGCACAAAGGGCACTGTCAGCTCCCTTGACAAACACTGATGGGGTGGCAATCTCTGCTGCCTGCAAAGGGCTCACGGAACTCTGACCAGCTGTCAAGGCAGCAGCAGAAGTTTTTCATCTTCACTCCTAGGAAGACATCCTAAATACAGAGCTCATGGCTTTCACTTGCTCTCGAGCAGTCCATCCCAAGTACTCATGCAAACACCAACGTCCTGGTGTGTGAGAAAATCAACCTGCTGGCCTGAGTTTAGCATAGCGCTTAAGCCTTGAGCTACAGCTCTGCTTCTTTGCCTTCATCTCTCTTGGCTGGCAGACATGTTCTGTAGATACTTTGGACTTTATCCAGACTGGTTGCCCTCAGCAAGGGTGTATCGCTTGGCTGTAGGATCTGGAACATGTCCTGGCTGTAGGATACGAGTTGTTTGTTGCCCCAGTCCTTCAGCAAGTCACCCGCCATCTCTGTGCTGGTGCTTTCCTCCCACACATGGCTGCTTGTGTCTATTTATATTGCAAAATCTTGGAGGAATGGCAGTGTCTTTGTGCCAAATTTAATGGAACAGGGCACCGAGACTGCAGGGTTCAGCACACAAAAAATGAACGTGGTTGGAAGGTACCTGGGAGAGCCGAGATGCCGTTTGGCCAGGGCAAGCGTTTGTTGCGAGAAGGCGTGAAGGAGATGTTTGGAGCCCAGTTAATGGAAAGGATAATGAAAGGCACTCATGATTGATGGGAGCTGTTGAGGCCTATCCTGCACAAACCACCTTTGCTGACCTGCTGCTGAGGCTCCATGTGGGAACAGCTCTAATTGCCGCTGAGATTTTACCTGCCATCATAGCAGCTCGTCTAAAGGGAAGTGGTTTTGAGAGAGTTGCGGCAACACAGAGCAGAGATCATTCTTTGGCACACTAAACAGCTCTAAAGTAGTTGGGAAAGGAAGAGGAAATTGCTTAGCACTATGTCTTCATGATTAAAAAGGTTTCGTGTGCTGGCTTGGGTGCGTATCATTAGCAGGTCTCTGTCCCTGCGGAGAGTGCCAGAACGGAGTGCTCCGTGTGCGCGGAGCTGAATTCAGCCTGCTGCACTGGAAACAAGACAGTTTTAGATGTAATTTAGCATCTATGACTCACCAACAGCTAACACATGTTACTCATAAGCATATCTGTGGTAAACCTGTATGTGCTGAAGGAGACGTAACCCCTGCTCTCCTAGGAACTAGATATGAAAGGAAAACCCAGTCATTCTGCTGGGTCAGGGCTGGCTTTGTAAAAATTATTTAATGACATCCATATGCTATTTTGGTTTATCCATGAGCTAGTAAAGGTGATATGCTGTTTTCATCATTGCCTTTTCTCTTGCAGGAATCGCTAACTTTTCTAAATAGCTTTGAACTTCCTTGAGCACATTGCAGTGGCGTTCTGGTGTGCGCTCTGTGTCCTTCTGGGTCGCTTTAATCCAAGGAGATCTTGTGGGAGAGCAGCATAAGGTTCATTTTTTGTTCCAGAGAGCAGAGGGATAATTTTTGTAAATGCCTGATCATGGTTGGCTTTTGAGAACCAAACGGTTGCAGTCTGGCTGGGTAAATATGGGTTGAAACTTCTTCGATCCATCTTCTAGAAAAGTTGTGGGGAAGGAGAGGTCTGTGCTGGAAATGGGCAGACATCCTTTTCTTTGCATCTAGAAAATGTCAGCTATCTTCATTTAATCCTTTGGTTCCCAAGAGGAGCTATCCCCATTAAGCAGTAATCACAAATATTTTGTGTTCCTGGATCTGATGTCTAATAAATCTCTAAACCAGAAGCAAGCTGTAAAATCTTCTTGAAAGTTTGAAACAAATGGGGAGAAATTTATGGTTCTTTAAATCTTGTGCAGTTGGAGTTTTAATGCTCCCTGCTTGCTCTTGAGGAGGATGGGTTGCAAGCGTCAGTTGTGGAGCTGTGTTTCATACCGGTGTCCTGGGATTTGGCCATCTCAGAGACACATGCATCAGGAGATTAAGGGAGATTTTTTTTCAGAACTCCTCATTTCTCTTGCTTTTATTCATTTGCCTTATTATTAGCTGCAAAGCCTGGAGAGAAGTCTTCTCAATTTCACTTGTATCCAGAATTAGAAGGTTTAATCCATGGCTTTATTTTGGAGCCACATGTATCCCAATTATTTCATGTGTTTGAGGACAGGGAAAGTTATTGGTTTTTTTTGGTTTTTTTTTTTTCTCCTGTGTTTTGGCACCTTTTTGTGATCATGGCTGGCATTATTACAAGCCATACAGTGATGGCAGTGTTTGGTGGGGCGTGGGAAATACGTGCTGTGTTTTGAGATGGCAGTAGCTCATCTGGCATAGTTTAGCTGAGAATATTTTGGGGGGAGGCTGGGGAAACAGCAACTTAATCATAGAAGACTTTAATCTCTTACTCAACCTGTTGTTGATAGGCAAAGCTAGACAAGTTCAGGTAAGAAATGAAATGTAATTTTATTTTTTTTACGCAACAGTATGGGTAACTGACTGCTGCAAAAATTACTAAGGCAAGTGGCCAAAAGAGTTTTTCATGGTGAATTTTACATTTTCTGAATGAGGTGGTCTTATCTTTTTGGCTACAGGAATTATTTCAGGGGAATCCTGGGCCTGAGTCTATGTAAGAAGCTAGGCTAAATGATTTCGCTGGTGCTTTCTGTCTGTTTTTATTTATTAGAACAAGCTAAATATTCAAGAGGAAAAAAAATCAGTGCAATTGTTATATAAAGAACAACTCTTTCAAGTCTGCAGCCTTCAGATCCACCCATCTGCTGATGCCTGCAGGAGTTAGCAAACTGCGTATGGAAGAACCGCATCAATGATTAATGAGCTTACTCTGGTGACAAGACCTAATCAGATTTTCTAGATTTATTTCCTAGTGCATCTCCGGAACTGAGGAGATTGTAAAATTCACATGTCATGCTGTGGACCACTCTAGGCATGTAGGCGAGCGACAGCAGGAGAGCCAGCTGCTGCCCACCAGCTGATCACCGGTTAACAACCTCAGCCTGCAACAAGCATTCGGGTCATGAGTTAGCTTGGCCTGCCTGGTCCCTGCCGAGCTCCTTGGAGCTGTGTGGCTTGTCACAGCGTCGCCAAAGGGCATGTCGGTGATGCAGGCAATCCCCTGTTGAAACTCTTGGGGAGGAGGGACTCCTGCCCTGGAAGGATGCTGTTGAGCACACGTGCAATATGAAAGGCACTTTGAGTGAGTGTGCACAGGTATGTAGGATTGTGGGTTCCACCCTGGATCCCTGAAAGCAAAAGAAAAGGGCCCCAATATTCTGCTCTTCCTAAATCAGCTGCCTAAGGCAGTCGTCTCTTGTGTGGGGTGGAGTCTAACCTACGACTTACATCTGGATTCTCCACAGCAATGCTTCATTTCCTTGAACGGGAAAATGAAGAAGAAAATTCCTGCCTTTGCTTGCAATATACATGCAGATTGTGAATGCTGATTTTTCTCTTACTGTCATTAATCACACAAGGAAAGTGGTTTTTAACAGATGATTAAATTAATTCTGCCTCAAGCCAAGGGGCTGTGATTTCCTCTTCGAGTTTTCTACATTTTCTTAAAATGCCTCTGTGGCTGAGTTCTCGCTTGGCACAGCTGCCTGCTGGCAGGACTGCGGTGATGGCAGTTGTTACGTGCTGATCAGCAGCCTTGCAGAAGCAGAAGTGGATAGCCTGGCATCCTTGAATATCAGGGTGTTGGGCTTTTTCAGCAGAAGAATAACTGGCAACATCGGGCCTCTTCTGCTCATACCCAGGAAATCCCGGATCCAGCCTTCAGAGTGAAATGGATGCTTGCTTGTCTGTCTGCTAGAAAAATAATAATGGAGCAGGGTGCATAACCCTCCTGGGGCATGGAAAGAAGAGCTGGGATCCCCAGTGTCCTCATTAAGAAGCTGCTTGGTTTTAGTTCCAGTTTTGTCTTCTTATGGCTTCATATATTCTGTCTTTTTCCCTCTCCATTTACCCACTCCGCTTTCTCCAGTTCTCGAAAAGCGGCTTATTTCTCTCTAGGGGGAAAAAAAAAAAAAAGTGAAGCATCAGAGGGAAGGAAAATCCCTGCAGAATGGGATCCGTTGCATAGTGCATGAGCTCCGTATCGGATCAGCTTTGAGAGGGAGAGCTGGAGCAATTTATCACTTAGGCAACACGGAGGAAATGACAGGCTGCCACTCTATTCTGTTATATTCCTCTCGCCTTGAAGTCTGTCTGTGATAGCCGAGTCCTTGGTGTCACCTGGCATCTGTGATGTGCTGCAGCAGAGCAGACAGCGTGCTTCCGTCTGCTCAGAGGGGAAGGACTGAAACAGAAGCGGACCCAGGCAGGACCTTTCCTGATGCTCGGGTCGGATCAGAGTGCAGGGATGAAGCAGAGGTGTTGCAGCAGAGAGGAAAATCGCTGTGACAACCTCGATTTTTGACTTGCCCTTTGTCCACCTCTTCTAGCTCTGTTTTGAAGGATTAGACCCATTGCTGCCCTGAGGAAATTGTTCCTGCTTCTGGAGGACACAGAGCTGGGATGATTCCTTAGCCGTCACTATGTCTTGATTTTGATTGCAAGCCCCTGAATTTAAGTGCTGGAGACTTCAGCCAGGAACAGGGCTTCAGCAGAGGAACAGAAAGGGCTCTCGGCTGGCTCCCAGCCCACTGCTCCATGTTGCATTTTGCAAGCACTAGAAATGAGCTTATCAGAGACTCGTGCAGGCTGGGGGGGACCTCTGGAAGCCCAACTCTGCTTAGAGTAGGGCCAGGTTCAGGAGGCTCTGCAGCCGAGGTTTGCATATCCCAGGCTAT